ATGTCCGAACCACCTCAACAACCCTTCCTCAGCCCTCTGGACAACAGTTTTGGTAATCCCGCACCTCCTCCTAACTTCCAAACTACGAATTCTCTGCATTATATTCACACCACACATTGCCCTCAGACATGACATCTCCACTGCCTCCAGCCTTCTCCTCGCTGCAACATTCATCACCCACGCTTCACACCCATATAAGAGCGTTGGTAAAACTATACTCTCATACATTCCCCTCTTTGCCTCCAAGGACAAAGTTCTTTGTCTCCACAGACTCCTAAGTGCACCACTCACTCTTTTTCCCTCATCAATTCTATGATTCACCTCATCTTTCATAGACCCATCCGCTGACACGTCCACTCCCAAATATCTGAATACGTTCACCTCCTCCATACTCTCTCCCTCCAATCTGATATTCAATCTTTCATCACCTAATCTTTTTATCCTCATAACCTTACTCTTTCCTGTATTCACCTTTAATTTTCTTCTTTTGCACACCCTACCAAATTCATCCACCAATCTCTGCAACTTCTCTTCAGAATCTCCCAAGAGCACAGTGTCATCAGCAAAGAGCAGCTGTGACAACTCCCACTTTGTGTGTGATTCTTTATCTTTTAACTCCACGCCTCTTGCCAAGACCCTCGCATTTACTTCTCTTACAACCCCATCTATAAATATATTAAACAACCACGGTGACATCACACATCCTTGTCTAAGGCCTACTTTTACTGGGAAAAAATTTCCCTCTTTCCTACATACTCTAACTTGAGCCTCACTATCCTCGTAAAAACTCTTCACTGCTTTCAGTAACCTACCTCCTACACCATACACTTGCAACATCTGCCACATTGCCCCCCTATCCACCCTGTCATACGCCTTTTCCAAATCCATAAATGCCACAAAGACCTCTTTAGCCTTATCTAAATACTGTTCACTTATATGTTTCACTGTAAACACCTGGTCCACACACCCCCTACCTTTCCTAAAGCCTCCTTGTTCATCTGCTATCCTATTCTCCGTCTTACTCTTAATTCTTTCAATTATAACTCTACCATACACTTTACCAGGTACACTCAACAGACTTATCCCCCTATAATTTTTGCACTCTCTTTTGTCCCCTTTGCCTTTACACAAAGGAACTATGCATGCTCTCTGCCAATCCCTAGGTACCTTACCCTCTTCCATACATTTATTAAATAATTGCACCAACCACTCCAAAACTATATCCCCACCTGCTTTTAACATTTCTATCTTTATCCCATCAATCCCGGCTGCCTTACCCCCTTTCATTTTACCTACTGCCTCACGAACTTCCCCCACACTCACAACTGGCTCTTCCTCACTCCTACAAGATGTTATTCCTCCTTGCCCTATACACGAAATCACAGCTTCCCTATCTTCATCAACATTTAACAATTCCTCAAAATATTCCCTCCATCTTCCCAATACCTCTAACTCTCCATTTAATAACTCTCCTCTCCTATTTTTAACTGACAAATCCATTTGTTCTCTAGGCTTTCTTAACTTGTTAATCTCACTCCAAAACTTTTTCTTATTTTCAACAAAATTTGTTGATAACATCTCACCCACTCTCTCATTTGCTCTCTTTTTACATTGCTTCACCACTCTCTTAACTTCTCTCTTTTTCTCCATATACTCTTCCCTCCTTGCATCACTTCTACTTTGTAAAAACTTCTCATATGCTAACTTTTTCTCCCTTACTACTCTCTTTACATCATCATTCCACCAATCGCTCCTCTTCCCTCCTGCACCCACTTTCCTGTAACCACAAACTTCTGCTGAACACTCTAACACTACATTTTTAAACCTACCCCATACCTCTTCGACCCCATTGCCTATGCTCTCATTAGCCCATCTATCCTCCAATAGCTGTTTATATCTTACCCTAACTGCCTCCTCTTTTAGTTTATAAACCTTCACCTCTCTCTTCCCTGATGCTTCTATTCTCCTTGTATCCCATCTACCTTTTACTCTCAGTGTAGCTACAACTAGAAAGTGATCTGATATATCTGTGGCCCCTCTATAAACATGTACATCCTGAAGTCTACTCAACAGTCTTTTATCTACCAATACATAATCCAACAAACTACTGTCATTTCGCCCTACATCATATCGTGTATACTTATTTATCCTCTTTTTCTTAAAATATGTATTACCTATAACTAAACCCCTTTCTATACAAAGTTCAATCAAAGGGCTCCCATTATCATTTACACCTGGCACCCCAAACTTACCTACCACACCCTCTCTAAAAGTTTCTCCTACTTTAGCATTCAAGTCCCCTACCACAATTACTCTCTCACTTGGTTCAAAGGCTCCTATACATTCACTTAACATCTCCCAAAATCTCTCACTCTCCTCTGCATTCCTCTCTTCTGTATTTGTTGTCCCTCTATAAACACGCACTTCCTGAAGTCTGCCCATCATCCTTTTATCCACTAATACATAATCCAACAAACTATTGTCATTATGCCCTGTATCATATCTCCTATACTTATTTATCCACTTTTTCTTAAAATGTGCATTACCCATTACCAAACCTCTTTCTATACAAAGTTCAATCAAAGGCTCCCATTATCATTTACCCCTGACATCCCAAACTTACCTATCACGCCCTCTACAACAGTTTCTCCTACTTCAACATTTAGGTCCCTTACCACTATTACTCTGTACATTTGGTTCTAAACTCCCGAAACACTCGCTTAACATCTGCCAAAATCTCTCTCCTCTGCACTTCTCTCTTCTGCAGATGTATAAACTCTTAGTATAATCCACTTTTTGCACTGAACCTTTATGTTACTCAACACAATCCTTGAATTTATACATTTATATTACGTACCTTCTTTTTGTGCCATAAATGATCCTTCCCTAGGTAGTAGGTTGGTAGACAGCAACCGCCCAGGGAGGTACTACCGTCCTGCCAAGTGAGTGTAAAACAGAAGCCTGTAATTGTTTTACATGATGGTAGGATTGCTGGTGTCCTTTTTTTCTGTCTCATAAATATGCAAGATTTCAGGTATGTCTTGCTACTTCTACTTACACTTAGGTCACACTACACATACATGTACAAGCATATATATACACACCCCTCTGGGTTTTCTAATATTTTCTTACTAGTTCTTGTTCTTTATTTTCTCTTACCTCCATGGGGAAGTGGAACAGAATTCTTCCTCCGTAAGCCATGCGTGTTGTAGGAGGCAACTAAAATGCCGGGAGCAAGGGGCTAGTAACCTCTTCTCCTGTATATATTACTAAATGTAAAAGGAGAAACTTTCGTTTTTCCTTTTGGGCCACCCTGCCTCGGTAGGATACGGCCGGTGTGTTGAAAGAAAGAAATGATCCTTCAACATTGCTGCTAGTCCTTCCTTAGCTCTAACTCTCAGATACTCCTGGCCTAATCCCATTTATTTCTCCCCACTGAAACTCCCCTATTCCCTTTAGTTTTGTTTCATTTAATAGCCAAGACATTCTTCTTGTCACTCTAAACATTCACAATCATCTCTTTCATATCATTGGAACTATATCCAAGTTCTTCTTTTGCAGGCCACCCTGCTTTGGTGGGAAGCAGCCAATGTGTTAATAATAATAATAATAATAATAATAATAATAATAATAATAATAATAATAATAACAACAATAATAATATGTAGGTAGTAGGTTGGAAGATAGCAACCACCCTGGGAGGTACTACCCTCCTGCCAAGTGAGTATAAAACGAAAGCCTGTATTTGTTTTACATGATGGTAGGATTGCTGATGTCTTTTTTGTCTCATAAATATGCAAGATTTCAGGTACATCTTGCTACTTCTTCTTACACTTAGGTCACACTACACATACATGTACAAGCATATATATACACACCCCTCTGGGTTTTCTTCTATTTTCTTTCTAATTCTTGTTCTTGTTTATTTCCTCTTATCTCCATGGGGAAGTGGAACAGAATTCTTCCTTCGTAAGCCATGCGTGTTGTAAGAGGCAACTAAAATGCCGGGAGCAAGGGGCTAGTAACCCCTTCTCCTGTACAAATTACTAAATTTAAAAAGAGAAACTTTCGTTTTTAGTTTTGGGCCACCCTGCCTTGGTGGGATACGGCCAGTTTGTTGGAAAAAAAAAATAAATAAAAATAATAATAATAATAATAATAATAATAATAATAATAATAATAATAATAATACATCCATGCACATGTAAACATCCCAACTTAACCTACCATATAAGGGATTTTTCCCATGAAGATTGATTTAGAGGCCTAGATATGCATTCTCTCTAGATACACAGGATGAGGTGGGAACATAAACAGAAGACAAGTATAAAAAAAAAATATAGTAGAGGACATGTAACCGAGAAAGAACTCAGTAATGCTTTCAAGTTGGATAGATTCAAATTTAGAAAGGTCCAGTTGTTTGGTTAGCCAGACTTGAGTCCTGGAGGTGGGAAGGGTAGTGCCTATACCCTAAAGGAGAGGTGAGTATGTTGCAATTGCAGGGTTACTCTGAGTGTGATGTCAGCACATTTCTGGAAACACAGCAATTGAGTGAATGTTGGTGAATGTGTTTTATTCTTTGGGTGATACTGAATTCCTTCATAAATACTATCTTAATTAAACTCCACTAACCAGTCAAGGCAAAAAGGTACTTTTTGATATCTAAGTCCCTCATTCTCCAAACCACCTTTATCCCCTCCCTTCATTGCTTCCTGAGATGACCATATCACTCTGTCCTTCCACCCCAGATCTACATACTCTCTAGGGTCTAGGTCAAACTTAATTTGCTCCATTCTCTCAGAATGTCCAAACCACCTCAAAAGTCCCTTCTCAGCTCCTCAGTCTTATGTCCTCTGATTTCTATGCTCTAAATTCTTGGCACATCATTCACATTACACACTGCTTTCCAACATGACATCTCTGATGTATCCAGCCTTAATCCAGCAATAGTTAAATTCAGTAAAAGAAAACAGCACAGTTTGACGAGGAAAAAAACAAAAAATCTTTTCTCTTTATTTTACTAAATATCTATATACAAAAATATAAAATAATTAACATACAAAATATATCTTTCTTATTATTTTACTTAGTGTCAATGTACAAAAAAGTATGATGGAAGCCATTATATAGAGCAGTCTATTTCAAACCTAAAGACAGTAGTCAGCTGCACGTGATAATGATACAAGATTTACATAAATAAAAAATATAACTCTACCTATCTCTGACTCACGAAATCATAATAACACGATTGCAAACAAATCGTGGAATGGCCAAGTGGTTAACGCACTGACCTGTGAGTTTTAGGACTCACTTGCCAAGGGTTCAAATCCGACCTGTTCCCTGATTTATTTATCAACCTGTTTCCTTGCCAGGTGACATGCTCAAACCAATTATTTAATGCTTTTTAAATGGAATGAATGACTTTTACAAACCTTTTATATAAAATTCATTATGAATGTCACTAACCAGCCAATGAGGGTTTATCAGTACAGTAATGAACTATTAAGTAACAGTGAGAAAACATATGAAGATATTAGGAGATATCAGGATTATTGATTTACTGGCAGCAATGCCACACCCATGACCTTTCCACACCTAGGTAAGCAAATGTTGTGACCTTATCTTGGATCTCTCAATATGAGAACACTTGAAGGAATGTTACTGATTGAAATGCACTCAAATTAGCTATGTATTTTCTAAATTAAAATTATGGATTTTTGCTATCATCTGAAATATGAATTTCAGAGATACACATAATTCTATATTGTACATATAATTTTCAGAATAATATTGGAAAATTCTGAATGCAAGAATTCTGAATAACAGAGAATTACTGTATACTGTGTACACTGAATATAGAACAGACCAGAAGAAAAGCTCAACTTTCATTTAAAATAATGTATTAGTACAGTATACAGCGAGGTCTCGATTAGTGGAAATGATGAATCCTGCGGAGTGGTCACATTATTTGAATTATGTGTAATTTTTGCTCATGATTTGAAGAGTATGGGGAAAACCTAGCATTAATTTTGCACTAAATCAAAATTTGCACAAGTAATCAAAACCTAACTGCATATCAAATAGTTTCCATATATTGAAAGTATTGAAATTTGCAGATATGACCAAATACAGTAATTAAGTAAGAGCTATGTATACTGTATTTAACCCTTTGACTGTCACGGCCATATATACACCTACCATCCGACTTACGACCTGCTCGACTTACGACCACTCGACTTACGACCACTCGACTTACGACCGTGTTTTTTATGCCAAATTTCTGGGAAATAAACAACTATTTGTGTTGTACACAGTGTTTATTCTAAACCTTACAGTATAAAATACAATACTAACAACATAAAAAGTAAAGTAAAACATGAAATACCAAAATAAAACAAAATAAAGTCATTACAAAAATGTTTTGTTGATATTAAGTAGTAAAGTTCGACTTACGACCATTTCGACTTATGACTGGTTTCTCGGAACAGAACTTGGTCGTAAGTCGGATGGTAGGTGTATACGTCTTACGAGGTACCGTGTTTGACGTATATATACTCATAAATTCTAGCGGCTTCAAATCAAGAAGGAGAAAACTGGTAGGCTCACATGTGAGAGAATGGGTCTGTGTGGTCAGTGTGCACCACATAAAAAAAATCCTGGAACACGCAGTGCAAAATGAGAAAAAAAAAACTCCGACCGTTTTTTTTAATTAAAATGCCGACTTTGTGGTTTATTTTCGTATAGTATTTATGGTTGTATTCTCGTTTTCTTGGTCTCATTTGATAGAATGGAAAACATATTTTAGAAAAAGAGATGATTTTGATTGATTTTACTATAAAAAAAAACTGGAAATGGAGCTCAAATTAGGGGAAATGTTTGATTTTTGCCGATGTTCAAACGTAAACAAATGACATCATTGCCCAATAAATGTCCAACTAGCCATTCTAATATGCAGTCATGAATGGGTTGATGTTATTTATACAATTATTACAGTATTGGAGTAGTCTGCATAATAGTAAATTTTCTATTTTTTGTTTGAATAAAAATTCAAAATAGAAAGCAAGAGTAATATCAGAGGGGCCCGGAGACATGACTGATGAACAAAGAAAATGTTATTTTAGAGCCAGGAATGTCTGCATTGTTCATTCTGGACCTTATTTTGAAATTGTCATATTTTTTAATTTTCGTGAAATTGGCCAAATTGCAAATTTCTGACCACGTTATTAGGTAGTTGAAATTGGTAAATGGGCAGTTTCTTGTACTCAATCGACAGAAAAAATGGAGTTCTAAAGAAAAAGCTATGAGTTTGGTCGACTGAAACAAAGGAATTAGCCGAAAATAGGGCTCAAAGTGGGCAAAATCGCCGATTTGTAAATATTGCCAAGGTCGCTAACTTCGCAAGAGCGTAATTCCGTCAGTTTTCCATCAAATTTCGTTTTTTTGGTGTCATTACAATCGGGAAAAGATTCTCTATCATTTCATAAGGAAAAACATTTTTTTTTTTTTTAAATTTTGTGACACCAGGAGACACCTCAGGATTGGGGGTTGCGACAGTCAATGGGTTAAATATAGTCTAGTTCTTCTGGTATATTAAACTGCTTGTTCAGAACTTCCTCTTCAATGAAAAATTTATTCTTGCACCAGCTTTTTATTGAAAAGATGTTTTCTGTCCAGCGGTTAGCAGCAACTTGAGCAACCTGGATAATAAAATTATTTTATTTCTATCAATTATTAAAATTTTAAAATTTAAAAAAAAAAAAGAAAGCCTTGGCATACATTGTTCTATTTTTGAAAATAATATTCACCTGGAAAACGCTCTATAATTGTTTTACTAGTGTTTCAGGACATCTTAAAAACTGATCCTTTGATGTGCAACATCCTCACCATTCCTTCAGAGAGCATTCAATTCTTCCCACCTCCAAGCATCAAGTCTGCTAAGTGATTTCTCCAAGTCCCATCATATATGTTTCAGTAAATGTGAATAATTAAGCACACACATCCTTTCAGATGAACAATCACCACTCACATTAAAGTGGTGGACAAATACTCATTGGTCTCAATATGAAGTTTTTTTTATAAAATGCTTTCAATGCATATGATCTACAGTACAATGAACTGCACTGCAATGCTTAAAAACAGCCATTCCATTGATCAACTAATTCATAACATACCATGCAATAATCTCTTTATTGTTTCAATGGTCTGACTTTCTATATTGCACCATTAATCACAATGTTACACACTGGTCTTCACAATTTTCTGTGGCAACCACAGCAACCACCCAGGGAAGTACTACCGTCCTGCCAGATGACTGTGAAATGGAAACCTGTAACTGTTTTGCATGATGGTAGGATTGCTGGTGTCTTTTTCTGTCTCATAAACATGCTAGATAACAGGGATATCTTGCTACTCCAACTTACACTTTGGTCACACTTCACAGACATGCACATGCATATATATATACATACATCTAGGTTTTTCTCCTTTTTCTACATAGCTCTTGTTCTTCTTTATTTCTTCTATTGTCCATGGGGAAGTGGAAAAGAATCTTTCCTCCGTAAGCCATGCGTGTCGTATGAGGCGACTAAAATGCCGGGAGCAATGGGCTAGTAACCCCTTCTCCTGTAGACATTTACTAAAAAAGAGAAGAAGAAAAACTTTATAAAACTGGGATGCTTGAATGTGCGTGGATGTAGTGCAGATGACAAGAAACAGATGATTGCTGATGTTATGAATGAAAAGAAGTTGGATGTCCTGGCCCTAAGCGAAACAAAGCTGAAGGGGGTAGGGGAGTTTCGGTGGGGGGAAATAAATGGGATTAAATCTGGAGTATCTGAGAGAGTTAGAGCAAAGGAAGGGGTAGCAGTAATGTTGAATGATCAGTTATGGAAGGAGAAAAGAGAATATGAATGTGTAAATGCAAGAATTATGTGGATTAAAGTAAAGGTTGGATGCGAGAAGTGGGTCATAATAAGCGTGTATGCACCTGGAGAAGAGAGGAATGAAGAGGAGAGAGAGAGATTTTGGGAGAGGTTAAGTGAATGTATAGGAGCCTTTGAACCAAGTGAGAGAGTAATTGTGGTAGGGGACCTGAATGCTAAAGTAGGAGAAACTTTTAGAGAGGGTGTGGTAGGTAAGTTTGGGGTGCCAGGTGTAAATGATAATGGGAGCCCTTTGATTGAACTTTGTATAGAAAGGGGTTTAGTTATAGGTAATACATATTTTAAGAAAAAGAGGATAAATAAGTATACAAGATATGATGTAGGGCGAAATGACAGTAGTTTGTTGGATTATGTATTGGTAGATAAAAGACTGTTGAGTAGACTTCAGGATGTACATGTTTATAGAGGGGCCACAGATATATCACATCACTTTCTAGTTGTAGCTACACTGAGAGTAAAAGGTAGATGGGATACAAGGAGAATAGAAGCATCAGGGAAGAGAGAGGTGAAGGTTTATAAACTAAAAGAGGAGGCAGTTAGGGAAAGATATAAACAGCTATTGGAGGATAGATGGGCTAATGAGAGCATAGGCAATGGGGTCGAAGAGGTATGGGGTAGGTTTAAAAATGTAGTGTTAGAGTGTTCAGCAGAAGTTTGTGGTTACAGGAAAGTGGGTGCTGGAGGGAAGAGGAGCGATTGGTGGAATGATGATGTAAAGAGAGTAGTAAGGGAGAAAAAGTTAGCATATGAGAAGTTTTTACAAAGTAGAAGTGATGCAAGGAGGGAAGAGTATATGGAGAAAAAGAGAGAGGTTAAGAGAGTGGTGAAGCAATGTAAAAAGAGAGCAAATGAGAGAGTGGGCGAGATGTTATCAACAAATTTTGTTGAAAATAAGAAAAAGTTTTGGAGTGAGATTAACAAGTTAAGGAAGCCTAGAGAACAAATGGATTTGTCAGTTAAAAATAGGAGAGGAGAGTTATTAAATGGAGAGTTAGAGGTATTGGGAAGATGGAGGGAATATTCTGAGGAATTGTTAAATGTTGATGAAGATAGGGAAGCTGTGATTTCATGTATAGGGCAAGGAGGAATAACATCTTGTAGGAGTGAGGAAGAGCCAGTTGTGAGTGTGGGGGAAGTTCGTGAGGCAGTAGGTAAAATGAAAGGGGGTAAGGCAGCCGGGATTGATGGGATAAAGATAGAAATGTTAAAAGCAGGTAGGGATATAGTTTTGGAGTGGTTGGTGCAATTATTTAATAAATGTATGGAAGAGGGTAAGGTACCTAGGGATTGGCAGAGAGCATGCATAGTTCCTTTGTATAAAGGCAAAGGGGACAAAAGAGAGTGCAAAAATTATAGGGGGATAAGTCTGTTGAGTATAACTGGTAAAGTGTATGGTAGAGTTATTATTGAAAGAATTAAAAGTAAGACTGAGAATAGGATAGCAGATGAACAAGGAGGCTTTAGGAAAGGTAGGGGGTGTGTGGACCAGGTGTTTACAGTGAAACATATAAGTGAACAGTATTTAGATAAGGCTAAAGAGGTCTTTGTGGCATTTATGGATTTGGAAAAGGCGTATGACAGGGTGGATAGGGGGGGGGCAATGTGGCAGATGTTGCAGGTGTATGGTGTAGGAGGTAGGTTACTGAAAGCAGTGAAGAGTTTTTATGAGGATAGTGAGGCTCAAGTTAGAGTACATAGGAAAGAGGGAAATTATTTCCCAGTAAAAGTAGGCCTTAGACAGGGATGTGTAATGTCACCGTGGTTGTTTAATATATTTATAGATGGGGTTGTAAGAGAAGTAAATGCGAGGGTCTTGACAAGAGGCATGGAGTTAAAAGACAAGGAATCACACATAAAGTGGGAGTTGTCACAGTTGCTCTTTGCTGATGACACTGTGCTCTTGGGAGATTCTGAAGAGAAGTTGCAGAGATTGGTGGATGAATTTGGTAGGGTGTGCAAAAGAAGAAAATTAAAAGTGAATACAGGAAAGAGTAAGGTTATGAGGATAACAAAAAGATTAGGTGATGAAAGATTGGATATCAGATTGGAGGGAGAGAGTATGGAGGAGGTGAATGTATTCAGATATTTGGGAGTGGACATGTCAGCGGATGGGTCTATGAAGGATGAGGTGAATCATAGAATTGATGAGGGGAAAAGGGTGAGTGGTGCACTTAGGAGTCTGTGGAGACAAAGAACTTTGTCCTTGGAGGCAAAGAGGGGAATGTATGAGAGTATAGTTTTACCAACACTCTTATATGGGTGTGAAGCATGGGTGATGAATGTTGCAGTGAGGAGAAGGCTGGAGGCAGTGGAGATGTCATGTCTGAGGGCAATGTGTGGTGTGAATATAATGCAGAGAATTCGTAGTTTGGAAGTTAGGAGGAGGTGCGGGATTACCAAAACTGTTGTCCAGAGGGCTGAGGAAGGGTTGTTGAGGTGGTTCGGACATGTAGAGAGAATGGAGCGAAACAGAATGACTTCAAGAGTGTATCAGTCTGTAGTGGAAGGAAGGCGGGGTAGGGGTCGGCCTAGGAAAGGTTGGAGGGAGGGGGTAAAGGAGGTTTTGTGTGCGAGGGGCTTGGACTTCCAGCAGGCGTGCGTGAGCGTGTTTGATAGGAGTGAATGGAGACGAATGGTTTTTAATACTTGACATGCTGTTGGAGTGTGAGCAAAGTAACATTTATGAAGGGGTTCAGGGAAACCGGCAGGCCGGACTTGAGTCCTGGAGATGGGAAGTACAGTGCCTGCACTCTGAAGGAGGGGTGTTAATGTTGCAGTTTAAAAACTGTAGTGTAAAGCACCCTTCTGGCAAGACAGTGATGGAGTGAATGATGGTGAAAGTTTTTCTTTTTCGGGCCACCCTGCCTTGGTGGGAATCGGCCAGTGTGATAATAATAATAAAACATTCTTCACATCTACAATATCTCATTATCTGCACTCTATGCTCTCCTCCATATAGTGTATATCTTTTAAGAACACCTTGATCTAACTATAACAGTGGTTTCCCAAAAATTATGTAACACACATTAAGAGAAATAGTGCCCTAACAACAATATCATACAATAACATACAAAAATGGAATATTTATTTCACTTTGATCAGAAAAAGAGACTGATGTCACTAGATTCATTTTCACCGAGATATTGTAATATACTAGTCAATTCATGCTGTCCAAAGTCTCTAGGTTCACAAGTATAGTATGTTAATTAAACACATGCAGATTATATCCTGGCTTTACATAATATTCATACTTATTAAGCAGAGATGTTAACAGATGATTACAATCCTCCACATGTACTTTGTGCCTGTAATTCAGCCAAGGAAGGAATGCTTAAAAAAATATATTAATAAATGTTGAAAATACTGCATGTGGCAAGGCATGACCAGGCATAAAACATTATTACATGGGCGTGCAAGCAAGGATAGTTATGGTGAGACGTATGAATGGTCTTGTTAGCATCATAATGAAAATCACTTATTTTTTCTGTAATCCAACTTCCTGTTCTTTCCCACACTTTTACAATGACTATTTTCCTAAATACTTTACTTTACCTGATATACTCAGACTTTTTTTTTTGTTTAACACACCGGCCATCTCCCACCAAGGCATGATGACCCAAAAAAGAAGAAATGTAAATTTCCCTTCTTTTTATATTTAGTAATTTATACAAGAGAAGGGAGTTACTAGCTCCCTTGCTCCTGGCATTTTCGTTGCTTCGTATGGCTTATGACATGCATGGCTTATGGCGGAATGATTCTTCTCCACTTTCCCGTGGAGAACTCAACAGACTTCTTACCCTATAATTCCTACCCTTTCATGTCCCCTTTCCTCAAATCCTTAAATGCTTTTTTTATATACAGTATATATATTAAACAAATGCACCATTCATTCTAAAATTCTATTCCTCATTTGCTTTCAGCATTTCAGTCTTAATCCCATCCCTTCCCACTGCTTTATCCCCTTTTCACCTTGCCCACTGCTTCACCCTATTTGCTGCACACTCAACCTTTGGTTCCTTTCTCCCCATGCCCAATGTATATTATTATTAAATTCATGGAAGAAGTGTTAAACCCACAAGAATCATATAGCTCCTTAGGGAATAGGAGGCATTCAGGTTTGATCCCTGATAAGAGAGGTTTGGCTCAAGAAACCTCCCTTGAGGGGCTGTTTTACGCATAAAATCTCCTCTTAGTTTTCATCATCTACGTTGAACTATGCCTCAAGATAATATATACCACCTACAACTCTCAATCAAACTTCTCATTAATTTCACTTCTTGACTGACAAGTCCATTTACTCCCCTTTACTAATGTCTGTCCAAAATTTCCTAATAAGTGACCAATGTTCTCATTTGCTCTTCTTGTACACCTTCTCACCACTTTTGCTTCTTCATATATTCCACCTTCGTAATACAATTTTTGCACTGTATTACAAAATAAATACAGCTTTGCTTGTATAATTCACTGTACATTTTGCACAAAACTGCAAATAAATTGGAGACAAAATATGTCACGTTATCTTATTTTGACCAACATGGAACTGTCTAAGGGAGTTAATGGCTGAAGCTGAGCCACAATAAGTCTGATTTTCTCAGCAAGTGCAGCACCAGCAGTCAAGGAGTCTATGATACCGTATATAGGCCTATGTTACACTTCTGTTTTACGGCACCTTATAGCTCTTATATTTACTATTACAGTAGAACCCTCGTATCCAATGATTCGGTATCAGCGGTTTCAGTTATCCAGTTTACTGTGGCCCAAAAATACTTCTTAATTTTGTTTAATAATGGCCCCAGAGCACAAAAGTAGAGAAGCTGACAGTTCTTCAAAGGCTAAGAGAAGCAGTGAAGTGCTTCCCATCAGTGAAAGTAATAATTCTCCATTTATTGTGCATAATTTATCAAGTAAACTTTATAATAGGTATGTAAAGGACTTTTACATACGGTTTGCTACTATCCGCGGTTTCGGTATCCACAGCAGGTCCTTGGAACATATCCCCCTGTAGATACAGAGGCCCTACTGTACAATACTTTATTTCTTACCTGAGTTTCAGCCTTCATCTGACTCAGCACTTCTGGGTCACAATCAGAGAATTTCTTTATTTCCTTCACCAGCTGTTCCTTGCTACTCTCCAGCTGCATTAATCGTTCCAAAACCTCTTCTCGTTCTCCACTTTCTTCACGACCCACCTGATGGGGAATGTGTAACGTTAAATGTGATTTCATGTTCATATTTAGTAAAGGATATATGAATAATTAAAGAAAGTGTAATGAATAATTGTCAAGACTCAGAAAATTGATTGATATGTATATTTTGACCCCCTGCTGGGGTCCTCTTCAGCAGGGATATAATTATACTGTGTATATTAGAGTACAGAATGATGTATGTAATACAGTAGTAGGCAATATTTTCTCTAACTATACATTAATAATAAAAATAGTTGTCGAGATAACTCAAAATGTTGTAAATGCTGTCTAGTGAATATGCAAGTGAGAGTAAATGAGAAAAAGGAAGAAAGGGAGGAGAAAAGCACAGCATATTTTCTACTTATCATAAGCAACTAGTTGCAGAGATGACTCATAGTATGTTACTTCATATCCTAAGAGTGAGAATACCTGAGAGATAGTTTAAAAAAATGAGAGGGAGGGGGAAACGTCACCAAATACACCTACCATCCGACTTACGACCTGCTCGACCTAAGACCACTCGACTTACGACCGTGTTTTTTTTGCCAAATTTCTGGGAAATAAACAACTATTTGTGTTGTACACAGTGTTTATCCTAAACTTTACAGTATAAAATACAGTACTAACAGCATAAAAAGTAAAGTAAAACATGAAATACCAAAATAAAACAAAATAAAGTCATTACAAAAATATGATGTTGATATTCAGTAGTAAAGTTCGACTTACGCCCATTTCGACTTACGACCGGTTTCTCGGAACCGAACTCGGTCGTAAGTCGGATGGTAGGTGTATTACAGTGGCTATTAATATAGAGCTTACTGAAATAATTACCTGGTAAAGGGGAAATTAAAAAATTGCTATGTGCTGGAGTGACAGAACATGACATGTACTGAGTGATGGTGAAAGTGTTTCTTCTTTTTTGGGTCACCCTCCATTGTAGTAGATGGCCAGTGTGTTAAAAAAAAATCGTTTACTGAAAAGGCACCTCCTTGGATTTTTTAAAAATGTGCTGAAGAATTAAGTTATCCCCTCTAATATATACACAGCACATCCTGAATGATTGGAAAATGGCAAACATCGTGCTGATGTTGAAATAAGATGAAAGGGATGAGCCTTTAAACTATAGGCCTAACATGCACTGTGGTAAAGATTCTGGAAAAAACAGAAAATTTAATAAAATACTTAATGAGAAAACTTGGTAAATACCAAACAAAACTTCCACACCAAAATGAAAGCTAATATCACAGACATTCAGATGAAGCAAGCAAAGAACAAGGATCAACCATTAAAGAAGCAGCTCATCAACTCACTGATATTAAACACACTAGAACTCCCACATGAAGATGACAGACAAATGTTTTCAAACTGATTAAAATAATTAGTAAAATTTTATTAAACAAACAATCCTAGTCATATCAAAAATGTAAATAGGTTAGGTAAGCAAGGTCAGAAGCACAAGACCAATCCTACTTCATGTTAATGACTAAATATTATACAGACTTCATCAAGGTATACACAGGGTGGTACAACACAACTACAGATACTCCTTGACTTATGATGGTTCAACGTATGATATTTCAACTTTACTATGGTGCAAGAGTAATTACTTTGGAGAGGAGACTTAAGATAATTACTCGGCATGAAGGTGGCAAGTTCCTAACTTGTATACATTTTTTTTTACTTTTCAATACTGGTATTTAGTTACTTACAGTAATTATGTGTTTATTAACTTATTAAGTGACAGTAGTTATTTATTCACTTATGTTTTCAGCAAGACAGTGATGAAGTGAATGATAATGAAAGTTTTTCTTATTCAGTCCACCCTACCTTGGTGGGAGAAGGTTGATGTGTTAATAAAAATCAAATCAAATTCATATTCAACTTACGATATTTTCAACTTGTGATAGGTTCGTCAGAATGTAACCCCATTATAAGTCTTTCAAGTAATACAGAGGCACAAGATATGGATAATATTTCTGTGAGGACAAATGTTTCTAGAGCAGTTATGTAAATAAAAAAGAAGCAAACCTGTTAATTGTCTTGTGACTTGCGAGCCATATTGGACGAGAGAACAAGATGCTTAAAGATTGTAATCCATGGCCTGGCCATGTTTGTCATATACCAACTGAAACAAATTGCACCAAAAGACATTCTGAACTATTATACAGACTTTAGATAACCTTTGATGTAGAATAATGAAATCAATTTTTTAAGTGTAAGTTAAAATAATAAAAAGCTTTTTTGAACATACTATATGAAATAACCTATGAAAAACTACAGAAGGTAACCTATTTCATATCTGATACTGCCATATTAACCATATAAAACCTCAATTCACTCTTATAAACAGTAGTACATACTGTACTAATTAAAAGAAAGTGAAAAGGGATTCTTTCATTATTGTATTCTATCAGTACAGAGGAATCTCCTATATTCTATTACTAGTAGGTACTATTTGTTTTGAGATAAAATAGCATTGTTACCTACCATGGCTTGTTCCAATTTCGAGTGTGATGTTTTCAACTTTTTGGTAGTGTCCTCGAGACGGCTATTCAGGTCATCCAGTTTTCTCTTACGTGTACTGAGAGCTTTGCTGAACAAGTAAAATAATTTATTTGTGAATCCTTATTACTATTAATAATGACTCTTCAACATAATTACAATGGCAAGACAACTAAATCTGCACCCTAATTTTTGAGGTATAAAATTTATTGCAGTAATGCAAACACTGCTAGTGCACAGCCAGTGACCCATACAGTAATCTTGAAAACAGTAAAAAAAAAAAAAAAAAAGCAAATTTTAAATTCTCTCTGCAATAAAACTATGGTAAACTAGCCAATTAAACTTCTGAATACAGTACTACCAACAAGTAATAAAAATTTTACTTACCATTTATGGAAATGTAATTAAGCTTTTCTTCGTTGCATATTATTTACGACTGTGAAATAGTGTTTTATTTCTGGTAAACTTAACTAATGATATATGCTAACATGTTTCACTTTAATTACTGTTTAAATACTATGCTGTAAGAGCATAAAATGTTCATTATGAAAAATGTCATTCTAATACAGGTAGGTCCCATTTTATGATGGTTCGTTTTACAACTTTTCACATGAACAACCTTTTCAAAATTACTTAAAAAACTGCAAAAATTGAAATATGAAAATAACAAAAACTCACATCTCAGTAACACACAGCAGCAACACCTGTGAGTCAAAACACAATGATTTTTGTAGGGACTGAGCCAGTTTTGGAAGTGGCTAATGATGTTTCTCGAATGGCTAATGATGTTTCTCGAATGGCTAAGAATGTTGGTATTGACAATGTTTATCCAGATGATGTTCACCAGTTACTGGTGAGCCACTTTCGAGGGAGGAACTGGAGGAACTGGCTGTGCAACTTTAACAACATGAAGCTGACACACCAGAGGAAGTGGAAGAGTTGAAGCCAATCAGGACATTAAATACAAAACATATTAAGAATGCTCTTGCCAAATTTCATAATGCATTTGATGAACTGTGATAATGATCCTGATTGGGAATGTAGACATGACATCTAAAGAGGTGTCAACATGATGTTGAAGCTCTATGATAACATTTTGTAAGAAAGAAGTAGGAAGTCATTCCAGATGTCAATACTGCAATTCTTGACAAAGAAGGGGGAGGAACCCTCAGGACTCGACGACCTTCAACCAGGAACCTTCCAATAATGTTGTCCCATTATGTCGCTGTCACATAAATTAGAGAATTGGCCAAACAGTGGCATACAGACATACTCAAGCAATGGCTCCACAGGATGAAAGTTTAAATTTTATTTGATTGTTTTATGTATAAGTATAAATAAAACATGTATGTACATATTTAAATGTTTAAAATATTTAATTATTTATAAAAAAAATAGCAATATTAGTACATACATACTTGGGAAAATTTTTGATAATTTTGGAACTTATCTCATTTACTGTTTAGAGTGACATCCAAATTGTCATATCTGTGCACCTCTGCAAAAACAATAATTGTGTGAATTATGGTGAGAGTGTTTTATTTTTTGGGGGTCACCCTGCCTCGGTGGGAGATGGCCAACATGTTAAAAAACAAAATGGTCTTGTTTTACACTTTTTCATTTTAAGATCCTGTTTTGCTGGAACCTAAACCTGTTGGAAAATGGGTCCCACCTGTACTGAAAAATCCTTAATTCCAAAAAAATGTATGTAAATTTGGCTCCATTTAAACTCACCTTGGGAATGCCCAGAAGTAGACACACGTGCCAATTTTATCTGTGTCTACCATAGCATCATCAACCAACGACTGTACAATGTCTTTTACTGCTTGAGAGATAACTCCCTTCTCTTTAGGTGCAATCTTTTCCAACTCCTGGAATGTAAATACAAAATAAAGTAAGAAATACTTAAGAAAAATGTTCTTAGAAAAGAGAAGGTGCATTAAGTATCAACAGAAAATTACTTTTAAAATCTAGGATGAACTACTACTGTTAATATAAAAATATCAACAAAAAACACTACTGATTGAAACAACTTAATCAACAGTCAAGGCTTAACACTTTGTCTCCCACAGTATATGGGTTTTTGGAGACTAATGGCACTTAATTATGCTGTGAGTGGTAAATTTTGGGATAGACATGTGAAAATGGGTCCATGTGGCTGACATGCACAGTATACAAATGATTCCTGCTGTCACGCAGCACATAACAGAAACAACTAACTTCTGACAATATTCTGAGTTAAAACTGACTTTGAAGCCTTTTATAGGGTCTTTTTTATGGATTTTTTGGCAGTTCCTTGGTGTTAATAAACCAGGAGAGAAACTAATGAAAGGAAGACAATTCTGGTCAGTTTCAAACAAGCAGTAACCTGAAATAGGCCATAAAAGGGCAGAAATATTAAATTTTTAGTATTTTCCTGAGGAAGAGCAGAAGGATCTCCCATATCTCCTCCTGTTTGTTTCATAGGTTTTAACTAGGGCTGCTTCAATTATTGGAATGGCCTAAACCATGACCAGTCATTCTTGGCTATATTTTATTAGCTGAGACATAAGGTAAAACTTAATTTTGTGTGTGTGTGTAATGATGAATTCAAAGTGTAGAGCTAGTGTTATTTAGGAGAGACCAAAGGACATCAAAAGTGAACAGAGAAAAGATTGCTTTAGTCGCTGGAATGCCTAAACTATTCATTTTGGACTCTTTAAATTGGAACGTGTTGGATTTTGTGTAAAATTAGCCAAATTACCAAATTCTGGGCACAAATGCCAATGCTTGCCTAGCAAATCTGAGTGGCTTTCAGGAATCTCAACAGTAATTCTAGGTACTTTATACAACATATGTCAGGCCCATCTTGGAGTATGCAACACCAGTATGGAACCCACACCTGAGGAAGCATGTTAAGAAAGCTGAAAAAGTGCAGAAGTATGCAATGAGACTAATTACAGAGATAAATGGTATGAATTATGAGGAAAGGCTACAGGAATTTAATCTAATGACCCTGGAGGCCAGAAGGACAAGGGAAGACATGATAACCCACAAAATACTCTGTGGAACTGATAAGGCAGACAGAGACAGGCCGTTTGAAAGGCAGGAAACAGGCACTTGGGGGCATGGCTGGAATCTAAAGACAGATGAGTCACAGATATCAGGAAGTGTTTCTTCAGTTTCAGGGTGGTCAGGAAGTGGAAATGACTCTGATGAAGTGGTGGAGGTACAGTTTAATGAACAGAAACAACAGAGCCCATGAGGCTAGGACAGAAAATCCTGCAACCACATATGAGCCAACGCATGCACACACACACACAAAAGCACATCATGAAATTAAAAAAGTGCAAAGGTTTGCAACAAGACTAGTCTTGGAGCTAAGGGGTATGTCCTACAAGAGAGGTTGAGGGAAATCGACCTGACGGCACTGGAGGACAGAAAGGATAGTGGGGACATGATAACGACACACAAAATACTGTTAGGTATAAGGACACAAGTGCAACTTATGTGACATTTTATTGTGGCAACATTTCGGTCTCCAGGAGCTTGTCAAGCCGTTACAATGTAAAATTGAGAGGAACTGACAAGGTGGATAGGGACAGAATGTTTCAGAGATGGGACACAGCAAAAAGGGTTACAACTAGAAGTTGAAGACTCAGATGAGTAACAGGGGTGCTAGGAAGTATTTCTTCAGCCATAGAGTTGTCAGAAGTGGAACAATCTGGAGAGGATTTAGTGGAGGCAGGATTCATATACAGCTTTAAAGAGAGATATGATAAAGCTCATAGAGCAGGGAGTGGACCTAGTAGTGACCAGTGAAGAAGCGGGGCCAGGAGCTATGACTTGACCCCTGCAACCACAAATATGTAAGGTACGTATACACACACATACTGAAAGACTCTGCAAGACTGTCATATGTCATTACTTTGGTTCAGTTAAAATGTTTGCACACACACACACACACACACACACACACAAATGGAACAGCTTAAGATAGCTTTCACATGGTACTACCTTGAGCTGGAAAAAATCCTTCCTCTCATAAAATAACTCCATCATCTTTTGCCGCTTCTCTTCGTGGCTCAAGCCCTTACGACGAGACATCCTGGAAGATCTCTCTCAATCTGCAACATCATCACAATTGTCTACAAAATCGATCATTTGTTAATGATTTCTTTAAACAAAATATTACAGGTTATAATTTATGTATCAGCTGAAGAACATGTACTCATGACCACCTCAAGTGAAGATTCTACTGCAGTGTTACGTTGGGGGAGAGAGAAGTTTTTTCAGGTCATATTTTACTGACAAATAACGAAAAATCACTATCAGCGTCGATTAGCATTCTCAAATAATGTTCTCAGTAATTAAGGTGCTTGACTGAACTTATATGTACAGTGAAGATTCTCTGTAGTGTACAGCAGCATTCCAGCCTAGAAATAAAAAGCGACTTAAAAAAGATCATTAGCATAGCATACCTTGTTTTGAAAGTTCTCATCATCGATCCTATAATTATCCTAGCAGATGTGATAGTGACAGTGTTGTGATCCTTGAAAGTGAGATCCTCGGACATTAACACTCCCATGTCCTTCACATTACTTTTTCACTCTATTCTGTAGTTAGAGTTTGAAGTACACTCCGTTCTATTCTTTCCTCAAGTTTTCCATAACGGAGCAACTAAATTTGTCCTCATTGAACATCATTTTGTTTTCCGTTACTCACTGGAGTATATATCCGTCTGGAGATTTACTGTCTCATTGGATGACATATTCATGCAAATTTTAGTATCGTGGCAAAAAGAAGACACGATACTATGGTTTACGTCTCTGTCTGTCTGATATGAGGATGAGGAACAGGATGGGGGAGAATAATGTGCCTTGTGGAACACAGCTTTTCACTATGGCAACCTCTTAACTTAACGTTTACCATTACTCTGTGTTCTATTAGTTAGAAAGCTGAAGATCCATCTGCCCACTTTTCCAGTTATTCATTTAGCACGCATTCTGTGCGCTATTACACCATAATCGCATTTGTCGAAGTTTTTTGTAAGGTCTGTGTATACTATATCTGCATTCTGTTTGTCCTCCAGCGCACCCAAGACCATGCCATAGTGGTCCAGTAGTTGTGAGAGAGAGGAGCGACCTGCTCTAAACTCATGTTGCCCTGGATTGGATTGTGGTCAGAAGTAATGTAAAGCCAAAACAACAGTGCATAAGTGTTCGCAATCTTTATTGCAAACACTTATGCACTGTTGTTTTGGCTTTACATTACACCAAGAAGTGTAAATAATAGGGGTCCTCAGGTCATGCTTCAACTTTATATATCCTTGGGTAAGGTCTCGAATTATGCTGCACAGTTCTGATCTCCACATTACAGAATGGACATAAATCTCCTGGAAAACATACAGAGAAGGATGACGAAGTTGATCCCATGTATCAGAAATCTTTCCTACCTGAACAGACTGAGGGCACTGAGTCTACACTATCTGGAAAGGTGTAGAATTAGGGGAGGATATGACTGAAGTTACAAATGGCAAACAGGAATAAATACGTCATATCTGCTCAACAACATTTGCAGTTTGTTACAAAAGTTCGCTGTACCTAAAAACCACCTCAATGTAGCATAAGACAAAGGCTGAAATAGGGTATTTATTAAGAAGTCGTATCAACACAGTACACAAACAAGTCACTATCTACCCAGAGATAGGATTACAGCAGCCATGTGCGTTATATAGTCCCGCCCACTTCCTCTCTTTCCCTCTCTCTCTCTCTCTCTCTCTCTCCCCTCACACATACACCTCCTCTCCCTCTACTGTATGAATGTTCTAAAAAAAATGGCTGCTTGAGTTCAAACCCAATAAATGACGCGATAGAAAAAAGTTGAAATATGACGGACAACACAGTATGTATCACATAAGTGGAAACAAGTCCATGCATCACACAGAGATACATAAACGTCAAACGTTATGTCACCTCTGAGCCAGTCACAAACAGGATATCAACTGATAACGTTAAAAAAAGAAATCTGGAAACGTGTGTCGATATTTGGCTGTGTAAGCAATCTTAATTTTGAAAAGGATGGACGGGTAAGCCAGTGGAAGGCCTCGGTCAAATGACCAAAAGCTCCAGTGTCTTGTCATTATATAACTAAGACCCGCGTCAGTAAACACTTGTCCTGTTTCCTGACGAATCTTACCTAACAGTTGAGAAACTACCCCCCCCCAAAAAAAAAGGAATTTCACAAAGATTCCTTCAGAACTGCATGGTGTACTTTGTAAGACCAAGATGAGTACGCAGCGCCACCTGTGCACTCATCTTGCGCTTCACTCCTCATGATAAATATAATAATAATCTTTATTTCTACAAGTATATGTACAAGGTATACAGACCATAGCTGACATCAGTGACATACTACTATATAGAAAGCCCTTGTTTTGCAGAGCATTTCGGAGAAATTAAGTCAATTTTGTTCCCAGGATGCGACCCCACGCCAGTCGACTAATACCCAGGTACCTGTTTTACTGCTAGGTGAACATGGACAGCAGGTGTCTTAAGGAAACACGTGCTAACGTGTTTCCTTTTCCCATACCTGGGATCGAACCACGGACCTCACTGTGTGAGGTGAGTGCGCTACCAACTCAGCTTAGGAAAACCTCAAGAAAACCTGTACAGGCGGACATATTTACTAGCAGAATATTCTAGTTTTTGAGGAAAAACGTTTAAGTTATGAGGATTGACTAAAATAACAATGGATAGGATCAAGACCATGAAGGACGAATACAATAATCATACCAAAGATATATAGATCACCACGAGGCTAGACAGACAGCGGAGCACACAAGTAGTTGTACCCGCCTAGTTGTACTCACCTAGTTGAGGTTGCAGGGATCAAGTCCAAGCTCCTGGCCCCGCCTCTTCACTGGTCGCTACTAGGTCACTCCCTGAACCGTGAGCTTTATCATACCTCTGCTTAAAGCTATATGGATCCTGCCTCCACTACATCGCTTCCCAAACTATTCCACTTCCTGATTACTCTGTGGCTGACGAAATACTTCCTAGCATCCCTGTGATTCATCTGTGTCTTCAACTTCCAACTGTGTCCCTTTGTTGCTGTGTCCCATCTCTGGAACATCCTGTCTTTGTCCACCTTGCCAATTCCTCTCAGTATTTTGTATGTCGTTATCATGTCCCCCCTATCTCTCCTGTCCTCCAGTGTCGTCAGGTTGATTTCCCTTAACCTCTCCTCGCAGGACATACCTCTTAGCTCTGGGACTAGTCTTGCTGCATACCTTTGCACTTTCTCTAGTTTCTTTACGTGCTTGGCTAGGTGTGGGTTCCAAACTGGTGCCGCATACTCCAATATGGGCCTAACGTACACGGTGTACAGGGTCCTGAACGATTCCTTGTTAAGATGTCGGAATGCTGTTCTGAGCAAACCTCAGACTGAGGTTTGTCAAAATTTCTCCTGTTTAAGAATTTAGTGTGTGTGTGTGTGTGTGTGTGTGTGTGTGTGTGTGTGTGTGTGTGTGTGTGTGTGTGTGTGTGTGTGGTGTGTGTATATTATATATATATATATATATATATATTATATATATATATATATATATAAATATATATATATATATATATATATATATATATATATATAATTATATATATATATATATATATATATATATATATATATATATATATATATATAATATATATATATATATATATATATATATATATATATATATATATAAAAATATATATATATATATATATATATATTAGAAATTCGGCTGTAACTCAAGCAAAAACCATAAATGTTAGGTATATATCATATTAGCCGATTAACGATAAAGAGGTTGAGCCCAAGAGCTGGAGTTTGATCGCCATAATCACTTATCTATCATGTTAACAAAAAAAAGCAGCAGCTAGTAACTTGCCTTCGCCCAAGTTGCTGAACAAACATTGTTTTTACGCAGGTGAATTTACAAGCTAAGAGCTGCTACTATCCTACCTCAGCTCATTTCAACACTCAGCTCTATTTACGGTGTACCAACATCCCTTGACATGCCACCCACAACACTCGACTAACACCCAGGTGCCTACTTGCTGCTATAAACAGCGGCAACAGGTGTAAGCAAACATGCCCATTCTATTGTCAACTCTCATTATCTGCAGGGATCAATGCAACCATAGCAATTGTATACTGTGTGGGGGGCAGTGATCCCCCAGAACCATCACCAGGTACTGGTAGGTAGGTGGGTGGGTCTGCCACGTGTTTACAACAGCGTGCTATCCTCTGATTGGCAGCTCCATAACCATAACGTCACTGGCAGTGCCTGCCATTGGCAGAGGCCATGTGACGTCACTAAGAGTGCCAGCTCAGGTTGCTTAGATACGACACTGTAAACATTCAAGCATGACGCCCGTGCCTATCATAATATTCCACTAGTAAACATTTTATCGACGATACTCCTAAACATTAACGTTAATTCAAAAGTCGTTATGTGCGATTTTGCTTACAAATGAGTTCCGTTAATAAAGGTAATCTAATATATAGAATCCTTGGTAGTGAAAAGTGCATGAGAGACTGAGTATGGAACAACATACGTTCTCTGTACTTTTGTGTGAAATTGCTGTTTATACCAAATTGTGATACCATATAACGCAGATGAAGAAAGATTATCGCCAAGTGATCAGTGTATAGAAGATTAGCTATATGGCGAAAGTGTGCTCCTCCCCCCCAAATATAGTCCTCCCACCACTAGCAAATGTAGTGAGGTTACCTTCCCCCACTACACACTAGTCGCTCTCCTGACACACTCACGCCTCCCACTCCGCCTACGTGTCTACATTTAATCCCCGCACACACTACACTAAATCCTCACCTGGTACACGAGCCACGAGTACTGGCATACGGGAGTGCATGCGTGCGTAGTTTACGTTGAAGATCCAGCGACTCCACGACGATCATTAAGGGCACAATTACCTGTAGACTAATCCCAAAAATACTGGCCAAGGCAAGCTCGAAATATATACGTGGTGACAGTTATACATTTCTAAATGCATATACGCTGTGCGAGAATGCATGTGCTCGCGGTACGGGTGATGGTGTAAGCAAGTAGGGGGGCGTGGTAGGTGTGGGCGTGGCAGGTGTGGGCGTGGCAGGTGTGGGCGTGGCAGGTGTGGTCGTGGCAGGTGTGGCCGTGGCAGCTTCTGGCGTGGCAGCTGTGTGCTTGAACCACTATTAGGCAAGCATCCATCATGTCTGCATCAACACGCCGGAGGGGCCAGGCAGGCAGCACCAGCAAATCTAACAAGACGCAGAACAAAAATTCGGAGACAGAGCAACAAGACAGCCAGGAGCTACAGACAGAGGAGTGTGAAGAAGGTAATCACCCGGGAGTGCTGGAGGCCATATGCAGACTGTTCACCATCCTAGTAAAGGGATTCGCTGCCTTAGTGCTCTTCGTGATCCTCTTCAACTTAGTGCTGGTGGTGCTGAACAAGACGGTGTTCAGCGGTAAGCTCACCCAATATATTCCTGCTAAGGACTGGAAAGATATCTTAGGACACTAGCCCTAGTAACCTAGATATACTCTCCTGCCCGAAGTTCAGCCCCCACACACCTCTGAGATAACCAGTAGACTCTTCCGTCGATTGTTGCCCTTATCAGCCACTCCCGTGAGTTCAAGTATAATCAAATTACTGCAGCTGATAAGCATAAAAAGTGCAAGTATACCTCATATTCATTGTACAGACACCAAAACATATGGAGGATGGCTGAAATATAGCCATACACATGACGTGAGCGATGACTTGAACACGTATCTCGTTTTCTAAGTTAAAAAAACTTATTAATATATCGTACATAAACCTTGCAGACACCAGGAAAACAATAAAGATATATAAATGCAGATGTTATATAGCACGCATAAAACGAGCCACACAACCTCGTTTGCCATTCTAAGTCACCAACATAATTTATTCCGCATAAAAAAAATGCGTACGAAATAGTGCCTTTATGTTACAAAAACTAATCTTTCTTAGTCCCGAATTCTTGTGAGAAATGTAATCTGTAATCCGATATAGAAGAGAAATAAAGAAAACCAGAGCGAGTGAATTTAATGAGAGACAAAATAATTAATTCATGGTCGCCAGTGCCAACGATACAAACCTGGAGGGTTTACTAACAACAGCTGGTTAGTGCAGGAGCCGAGTCACCAGCTACAAATCTCCAGGTAAAGGGGAGGCCGAGTCCAGGGAGTAAGTGAAGGATTCCTGGAGGAGGAGGAGGAAGCTGCAGCAGCAGTCATGATGGGACGAACACAGTTACGAGTGACCTGCATCATGGCCTTGCTTACTATCGTCTGTATCAACACTGTTATATTCCTCTCCTCTTACGACCCCAGCCCTGTCACGCAAGGTGAGACTTGTACCATATAACCGTTATCATACCACCACCACTCACACAACCACTACCATCCCCACACTACCATCACTCCCACACCACCCCCAAATCCCCACCACCACACCATCCCCACACTACCACACCACCCCCACACTACTGTCAATATAATTATCTATAGGTCATGTAAGTATAGCAGCAACCAGTATAAGGGTTGGTAGAAAGGTGTGTACCTAGTAACACTATATTGTATTCCTCCGCACCTCTGTATGAGCTGGTCACTGGCGATCTGGACTTGGAAGATGTAAGATCTCAGCTTGACAGACGAAAATACTGCTGCTTTATGAACCTATACCCAGAGCAACAACGTCTCTCTTTCTGATGCTCCACTCTACCCACAACACACCACACAATTACCACTACCATTATACACCATTGCCACAACACCCTTACCACTACAACCGCACCCCATTACCACAATACACTACCTGCTGTATAGCCCTTGTGGCTTAGCGCTTCTTTTTGATTATAATAATAATAACAATACACTACCACACACCATAATCACACACTATAATCAGTTGATTAAGCAAGTTGTAAAGGCTATCATCGGTTACTTATATTACACAAAGTATTTTCACGAGAACTTTGTGTAATATATCATCGCGAATACCCCAACAACTGCGTACGCCCTCAACTAATCAGATAATATCCATCACCTAGGTTGCTCGACCTTGTGATACACCACATGAACATTACTGAACGACAGGTGTTGCCGAGAAGTATGATAGCTAAAATTTCGCCTATACAACGGATTGGGATTCAGTGGCAAAGCAGGTGTTAATTCCGACTAGTTTCATTCTCATTTCTTCTCATTCATGCACACACTTCTCTAATGGTCAACCATGATTCGACCCAAGAGAAAATCTCTCTATACCATGTGCCGCTACTTTCATGTGTGTGGGACTTTATCAAAGGCCTTACTAAAGTCCATACACACTATCGTATTCTTTATCTTGGTCAACCACCTCGAATACCTTAGTAAACTAGTAAATTCGTAAGACAAGAATGTCCCTTTGCAAAAATGCACTGAGATTCACTGAACAAATTGTAGTATCATCAAGGTAGCCTCGAACTGCATCCGTAATTATTCATTGTCAACTTTCCTACTATTCATATAAGGCAGACTGATCTATAATTTCAAACTAAGAAAGCATCTCATAACTTGTAAGAAGTATCATTTGCCATTTTTTATTTATCCGGAAACATATACGTTCGTAGTGATCTGCTGAAAAGACTAGCTAATGGTTTACTAAGTTCCTTCCTACATTCTTTCAGAACTCTTGAAAACAGCTTGTCAGGACCTGGTGACTTATTTGATTTCAGACTTAATTTTCAGTCTGTCTAGTTGTCTAAGGACGAGGTCTCTAGTGACTGATCTTACATAATTTATCCCAGTCCTGCGGTCACTACACTAGCCAGAGCTGGTATACACCAGCCAGAACTGGCCTACACCAGCCAGAGCTAGTATACACCAGACAAAGCTGATCTACACCAGTCAGAGCTGGTCTACACCAGCCAGAGCTGGTCTACACCGGCCAGAGCTGGTATACACCAGCCAGAACTGGCCTACACCAGCCAGAGCTGGTATACACCAGACAAAGCTGATCTACACCAGTCAGAGCTGGTATACACCAGACAGAGCTGATCTACACCAGCCAGAGCTGGTCTACACTAGTCAGAGCTAATCTACACCAGCCAGAGCTGGCCTACACCAGTCAGAGTTGATCTACACCAGTCAGCTGGTATACACCAGACAGAGCTGATCTACACCAGCCAGAGCTGATCTACACCAGTCAGAGCTGGTCTACAGCAGCCAGAGCTGATCTACACCAGCCAGAGATGATCTACAGCAGCCAGAGCTGGTCTACACCAGCCAGAGCTGGTCTACACCAGTCAGAGCTGGTCTACACCAGTCAGAGCTGGTCTACACCAGTCAGAGCTGATCTACACCAGCCAGAGCTGATCTACACCAGTCAGAGCTGGTCTACAGCAGCCAGAGCTGATCTACACCAGCCAGAGATGATCTACAGCAGCCAGAGCTGGTCTACACCAGTCAGAGCTGGTCTACAGCAGCCAGAGCTGATCTACACCAGCCAGAGATGATCTACAGCAGCCAGAGCTGATCTACACCAGCCAGAGCTGGTCTACACCAGTCAGAGCTGATCTACACCAGCCAGAGCTGATCTACACCAACCAGAGCTGGTCTACACCAGCCAGAGCTGATCTACACCAGTCAGCGCTAGTCTACACCAGTTAGGGACCACCAACATCAAGGCATCTTTCCTGACGGGATTTTGACAAACAAAAATATCGTGGCCATTTAAAAATAAATGCACTGCTCTTCACTCATGGATTGTGGCTGCCAGTTTGTTAGGGTTTAAAAGTATGGCTCTCACGTGAGCTATTACTGCTATATTAAAGAACCGGTAAACTCGTAATGGTCATCCTGCAGATCAGGCGATGGCACGTAGTCAGGCTACAGACTGGTAAAGTACGGCTGCTTTATGTAAATATGAAACTATCAATTCAAAAGAGGGTTTCTCAACTGGTAAAGTCCCCCTGGTGGACAAAACGCCTTCACAATAAAATGCCATAACCCGCACTGTGTGTTATATTTATGCGGGTAATTAGGTTTAATTCAGGTATAACGAAGAGGTAGCTTCAGTGGGAGCGTAGCACTCGCTTTGAAGATCAAATGGTTATAATTTTAATTTTAATTTTTAAAGGGGTGGAGGGGTAAGCCAGCAAAAGGTCTCGGTCAGATGACCAAAAGCTCCAGCAGCGGGTTATCACATGACTAAGAACCGCCTCTGGAAACACTTGTCTTGTTTCCTGACAAATCTGACCTAACCTAACCTTTGAAGAACAAATAGGTCACTAAAGTAGCAATTCACCCATACACTAACATCTTAAATACTTGCATCTCTAAAATAAAGATTTCAGTAAATTCTTAGGATACATATATACACTGAGGGATACACATTCAGGATGTATACATTGTGCTGGGTATAGTCACCGCTACTAGCATGAACAATACACACAACTACTAGCATGAACAGTACACAATACTACTAGCATGAACAATACACGACAAAACTACAAGCATGAACAATACACACGACAAAACTACTAGCATGAACAATACACGACAAAACTACTAGCATGAACAATACACACGACAAAACTACTAGCATGAACAATACACACGACAAAACTACTAGCATGAACAAATACACGACAAAACTATTAGCATGAACAAATACACGACAAAACTATTAGCATGAACAAATACACGACAAAACTACTAGCATGAACAATACACGACAAAACTACTAGCATGAACAATACACACGACAAAACTTCTAGCATGAACAAATACACGACAAAACTACTAGCATGAACAAATACACGACAAAACTACTAGCATGAACAATACACGACAAAACTACTAGCATGAACAATACACACGACAAAACTACTAGCATGAACAATACACACGACAAAACTACTAGCATGAACAATACACACGACAAAACTACTAGCATGAACAATACACACGACACAACTACTAGCATGAACAATACACATGATAAAACTACTAGCATGAATACACACGACAAAACTACTAGCATGAACAAATACACGACAAAACTACTAGCATGAACAATACACACGACAAAACTACTAGCATGAACAATACACACGACAAAACTACTAGCATGAACAATACACACGACAAAACTACTAGCATGAACAATACACACGACAAAACTACTAGCATAAACAATACACATGATAAAACTACTAGCATGAATACACACGACAAAACTACTAGCATGAACAAATACGACAAAACTACTAGCATGAACAATACATGACAAAACTACTAGCATGAACAATACACACGACAAAACTACTAGCATGAACAATACACGACAAAACTACTAGCATGAATACACACGACAAAACTACTAGCATGAACAATACATGACAAAACTACTAGCATGAACAATACACATGACAAAACTACTAGCATGAACAATACACGACAAAACTACTAGCATGAGCAATACACACGACAATACTAGCATGAACAATACACACGACAAAACTACTAGCATGAATGCACACGACAAAACTACTAGCATGAATACACACGACAAAACTACTAGCATAAACAATACACATGATAAAACTACTAGCATGAACAATACACATGACAAAACTACTAGCATGAATAATACACATGACAAAACTACTAGCATGAACAATATACATGACAAAACTACTAGCATGAATACACGACAAAACTGCTAGCATGAGCAATACACAAAACTACTAGCATGAACAATACACAAAACTACTAGCATGAACAATATGACACAAAAAATACTATCACAGGATGTTAAATTAATGTGCATCAATTAAAAAAAAACATTAAATTAGCAATGATAAAAGGCCCTCCCAAAAGTTACTTGAGGTCTCTACAGGCACCCCTGCAATAATTACAAAAACCCTAATATCAGGAATAACGGGTGAAGATGTGGGCACAGTTAAAATGTGCTCAACAGTCACCTATATGCCACAAGTCACACACAAAAAAGGGGCAGGAGTATCTGTAACCAGGTGGCTGTGGGTGAGGTGTGCATGTGATCCTTAAAAGTGATGATTTGTTAAGGAGTACCATACCTACATCCAGGCTCATCACTTTCCAAGGACAGAGTGATTTATGTGCATGAAGTCACCGTAAAGCAGAAATTGGCCACAGAGAAAATTAGTAATAGCACCCTTCACCTCAGTCTCTGCCCATTCACTTTGCTGTTCCTCTTCAGTCTCATTAGACAGGTGTCTTGGGATCTCCTGTTCTGGCTCCTTCAGACTCATGGCCAGCGATGAAGCGCCTTCATTGGAATACCAGCAATCTGCCTCTGCCAAGTAGTCTTCCTACAAAACTGTGCTGTCAAACTCACGTCATGCCTTGCCTAGTGGGTTACTCATGTAGCTTCCCATGAATATAACACACTGCTTGACCATCCAATTCTCTCCTGGACAAATCTTGATAATTTCTGAGATATTTGATAACATCCAAACACTATCAAATTTTGTGTAGTATTTTGTTTGGCTTACTACTGCTCTTTGTGATACACTTAAAAAAAATTAAGAGTATCTGTCTTCATACATTTCCTGTTATACCCACTGATTTTATTTTATGAGTGTTCTCCTTATGGTCACAAATGCTGAATGCTTTAGCATAACTGGGATAGATCACATCTGTTTTGCTTCTGTCATAGTGACATAACAGTTGCGAGAGGCAAGCTCTTCCTGCTCTAAAACAATGACTTAGATGTGTAGTTTGTTCTTTTCCATACAACCATTGCTTGACATCCTAGCACCCTCTCAAAATATATTTCTGATGTGTGATGTTAGTGCTACTGGCCAGTAGTGCTAACATCACACATCATGGTGGGGAATTTTTTTGCCATTGTGCTTCTGCCTCCTGTGTAATACTGGACTGTGTCTGGACATTTTAAAATGTGTTAATATTAACTGAACAGTGATTGGTATCTTTGTCCAGACTTACTGATGGACCCAAATGCTCCAGTGATCCTGGTTGCTGATGATGGTGAGGACAGACCTGTAGCGCTGCCCCAGGCAGCACCACCAAGAAAACAGCAGGTTGACAGAAACACACACTTCAACACTAGCTGGTCTTCAAAGAAGCATGTGCATCTTATGTTTGGGTCAATGGCTAACAAGTTGGTGGTGCACTCCTACGAACAAGGGGGTGGTGGAGTGGCCTCTGAAGCCCTCAACTTACTCATTAATGAAGTCTTCTTCCTCTACCAACCACTGTACAAGTTAGCTGCTGAGGAGTCCAGTCCTGAAGTGAATCTCCTTGATATGGATGAGGTAAACTTTTCTCATACTTCACTCTCTTACAAATGAATAAATTGTACTTTCAAAATGTATATAATTGCTACAAAATTGGCCAACATTTATTTTTGTACATTTTGAAAAGCTACTGTTATGCAGAACTTTCAGGCAGATTAAAACTAGAATTTTAAACTACTAAACATTTAAACATTTATATAGGTGAAGTAGGAGTATTTGAATGCCAAATTTAATATAATATCTGAAAACAATAATATTAAACCTACTGATTGTTTTAAGTAGCAAAACTGTAGGTACTGTATATTAAAACATCAATGGTAATAAAAAAGTAATAAAAACCCTTATTGACAATTTTATTTATGATAATTATAGCGGTAACAATAAATACATCAGTATGATGAATGGTGACCAGTTGGAGTCTAGAGAAGCAGGTCACATTACATATGTTTGACACCTGTAAGTGATCTACATAAATTTGCATTAAATTCAGGTGTTTTTCACAATATTTTTGAAGCAGCTGGAAGATAAGAAACTTGATAAACTCTAAGTATCAGCTTCTTAATTATTATTGTATTGTATTGGAAGGGATATATCAGTTTTCTGCCAATACCATGCTCAATTTTAGGTTGCTACCAATACCATCAAAATTTGCCAATACCCACCAATACTTTGTCAAATCCCTATTTATTACTTTCATATTCACTTACCAAACTAATATTAATGATGCGTCTGTTAATTGCATGAAAGCTAAGCTAGTCTTGTGACTGAGGGCATTAAATTGGTATTTTCCATTACTGCCAGTAACATAGACAGGAGTGAAGACCTTAACTATGTATGTATTTATTTATTTTCACTTTGTGAAGTATTAAACCCATGTGGATTATTCAGCATAAGGGGTAGAAGAAGCTGAATCCTCCTCCTGCTAATTGCTAGACATACTTGTTACTTTACCTCTTTGTATTTGCTGATTATCCAACTTTGTGTGGTGGCGGCCAGGCCAAACAAGGCGTAGAGTGGCTGCAGCAGGTTTTCAACTGTTCGCTGGCACAGCAGAAAGATCTTCTACATAAGCCCTTCCTTTGGAAGTCACACTCAGTGCGCTACACCTACACTACCCAGTGTCACAACCACAAGGTAGGAACAAAGGAAAAACATAAATTTCAAGCACTGGTATGCCAGGTTTCTCTGTATACATTTGTTAATTATTATTAAAAACACAGAAGAGACATACAGTGCCTTGAGAGTGGTGGGGAATATCAGGTTTGATCTTGAGAAGGGAAGAGGTTACTAATTCTTTGAATCAGAGATCCTTCACCACAATCAAGCAACCCATTTTAAGGATAAATGGGCTCAAGCTCCCCCTGTACCTTGGATGGGTTCTCAGAGTTCTTCTACTCCTAGAGCCCAGCCATGGGCCAGGTTTGTCTGGTGCTTGGCCAATTTTCATTGTATTATATTGACAGTCACCATGAAAGTATGATAGTTTAAGAAAATTAGACACATACTGAAAATTATGTCTTTAAAAAAATTTCTTTGATTTTTTCAGTATCTTATGATTTTTAAGCCCCAAGATTAAAATCCTAGCTTAAACCCTCACTCAGATTGAAATCCTAGCCACACCACTAGATTATGGGCAATTGTGTACAGTAAAATAATAATGTAATGTGATACAGGTAAACCTGGGAGAGTGTGTAGAGCGTGCTTGTACCCAACGGGGATTTCGCGCCGTTTACACTCCTCGACTTGGTATGCCACACATACACCAACTCGTCAAGGTATACACCAAGTATCTCAAGGTGAGTTACTCAACTAAAGCACTTTTAATATACTGTACAATGTTTAAATTTGATAGTACTGTATTATTTTACAGTACCTAAATGTTTGTATGAGGTGCTATCAAAAAGTTCCCACACTCAAATTTTCATGCACTCCTGAGTGAAATATGGTGGCAGCAGGTACAGGCAGGTTAGCCAGGATGGGTCCTGGCCCAGGGCTTCCCCATGTAGTGACCCAGCAGGGTGGCAGCAGTACAGTCCTTTGTGAAATAGTGTGGTGAGTTTCATTGCAGTTGGTCATCCCATTGAGGTTAGACATGGCGTACTGCGGTCTCAATTGCAACATCTCTGAACTGATCAGCAGATAGGGGACCTTTCAATGCTTCAGGCAGGGAGTTCCAGATATTAAGAGTCTTTTATGCACATTGAGTTTTTACACAGGGGCTGCCAAAGGAGGTTTTTGTGTCTTGTGTTATGCCAGTGTGTTTTGTTGCAGCTATCAAGGAAAAGTTCCAGAGGATTTATACTGGAATTGTTTGATATTTATAGAAGGCACAGTAGTATGTGTGCATATCTAACACACTCACAAAAGCCTATTAGCTGTCCTGTAGCTACAATTAAATAGGAGGTTACAGGATTTGAAGATAGCTACAAACACATGAGGACGAGGTTAATAAATGCAAAATTTTTATTAGTCAACTAATTAATGATCATTATCTCTCTGGTGTTGCAATGAGGTCACTGATGCAGTGAGAACTTAAGGTGTAATGCGTTTCAGGTAGTGATGGTGTTGCGTGATCCTCGGGCAGTGCTCAGTGCTCGGCGACAGGCTAAACGTTCTAACAATATAAACAACCTTATAGATTTCAAAACAGAGGTTTGTATTTAACTTCACTAATACCACATTATAACTACTGTATAGGTCACTTTTGTGAAAATTTGATGGTTCTTAACTAAAAGCTATATTCAATACAGTAACATTATTTTAACATAACATTTTTATTATAAATACTGCACCTGTATAATTATTAGACTGCACAAATTTATTTGAGCTCTTAGTAATACAGTACTGTATTTTATATATATATATTATATATATATATATATATATATATATATATATATATATATATATATATATATATATATATATATATATATATGAAACAGTACAGACACTGTACCTTCCACCTCCAGGACTAAAGTCTGACTAACCAGTTTCCTTGAATCCCTTCGTAAAATGTTACCTTGTTCACACTCCAACAGCTTCTCAAGTCCCAAAAAAACCGTTGCTTCCACTCACTCCTGTCTAACATGCTCAAACATGCCTGCTGGATGTCCAAGCCCCTTGCACATAAAACCTCCTTTACACAGTATATAAAGGTGAAAAAGATAATGTGTTTGTGTGTACAGGCATCAGAGTTGTGTACCACCATGGCTGCTGACATAGACCAGGCCAACCTTATGCGCAAGCATTACAAAGATTCTGTCATGGTAAGAACACACTTTACCAGCAGTCTCACAATGTGTGCTTCACTCAATCACTCCTTAGTTCTGTTTTGTTGGCATTTACTAGAATTATTGATCGATCATAAAATTTATGCGTAATTATCTAATTGGAGCTTAATAATACATTTTTGACTTGCTTCTACATAAAACTGAAATGCTGTAATTTTTTTTTTTTTCAAATAATACACAGATTATGCTGCCAAAGTAAGGGACCATGTCAATTTACAATTCGTACAGTAGTAATAATTTAAGGATATTTGAAACAGTTTGTTTCTATAAATGGGTAACTGTGGGTACACATACACGGTACACAAATACATCAAGTTTTCATGCATGTAAATGCAAGTGCTGTATTTAAAAGCCACTTGTCCAACACCTATTAAAATTTAGGACAGTGCATGCTATGACTCGTCTTATTATTGTACAGGTGTTGCGTTATGAACATCTATTACTGCAACCATATGAAGTCCTCTCATACTTGTATGACTTTTTGGGCCTTCAAGTGACTGATGATCAACTTGAACGTGTTGTCAGAATACTCCGACTAAATCGACATGAGCAGCTACTCTTAGAAATAACAAAGGTTAGTTCATAGAGCTTTTAATAATCTAACCTGAATAAGGTCCAAAAGACTGGCGGTATGCCAGCAGATAGTAAGGCAAAGGCACAAAAGACAGAGCTAACTTTTATTAAAACAGTTAGCTCAGTGTGAGCTTGATCAGGTTAAGCCTCGATTTAATGGACTAAAAATGGGCAGCAGGTAGCCAGGAATAACAATTATGGTGGACATATGAGATTGTTATGATGTGCTCCCTCACTCCTGTTCCTCTTAGGACATCCCCTAAACCATCTGTCCAACCCAAATTTATACACAGTCTTTGTCAAATTGTCATGCTTTACCTTTCTAAATGACCAAACCATCTCAATATCCCCTCCTCTCTCTCTCTCTCTTTCAATTATGCCTTCCACGTTTCCACCAAAATCTAATTTCTATGCTTCTTATTCTCTGTATAGTATTCACACTACACACTGACCTCAAACATGGCATATTCAATGCTTGCAGTCAGCTTCTTGCTGTAGCATTCACATATGAAAAATAACTACTGGTAAAAGTGTAATTTTCTAAGAATAGAGAATAATCAGAAATTTAAGTACAGTACTGTAATGGGTAGGATAACAAATGGTTTAATGTAAGGATGGGTTATACTTACATCAAAGTCCTGCAACATTACATTACTGTCAAATCACCTGGAACACATTACCAGCTGACCTGATGTTATAAAGTAAGTTCTTAAAATAACATTTAATCTTTCAGATGTGGCAGCTTGACCTAACCTTGCAAGAGAGTCGAGCAGTTGATGAAGGTTGTGACATTTACTATGACAAGTTGGGATATATATCTGTACCAGAAACTATCAACCCCAAAAACAACTACTTTATCACATGGGATCAAGCTAAATTACTGGAGGATATACACAGTAACAGAGTTTTAACAGTGAAACAAAGCCTTTTAACTGATGTCAATAACTGAATGAGCAAGAATGCCAGAGAAAATATTTATCAAATGAAAGTTATATGGGTTTGCTAAACCATAAAAGTGAAATGTAAAAGTAAAATTAAACAGTGAGGATGTACTTACAGGTATAATTCTAATTATTAAATGCTAAAAGAAAATAAGGCTACTGAAATTTAAAAGGAGTAAGTTTCAGGTGGTCTGAGTACAAAACTTGGGTCCATCAATAAGTGAAAATAAAAATAACAGTTATGTGCCAACTTGATAATCAAGTTTCTGTAACAACTAAATCTGCCATTAAACTATTGGTTAAGAATTACTGAACTCTAAACAACTTCCTTAGAATTATATGATTATTTAGCAACTCAAGTTAGTATTACGCTGACATTTATAACAAATTTATATATTATAAAAACTTTAAATACAATATTTTCTTCTAATGTATTTGTCTCGTAATATTGTACATCATACTGTGATGAAAGTGAAATACTGTACAATATAGAAACAAAATATTAAAGTTTGAATAATTATTTAAAATCAAATATCATTAACAAAAATTTGATGAAGAATATTACCTCGGTGTGGACTCGGAGAAAATACTGTGTGCTACATTCACTCAATATTAAACAAAAAATATTTTCATAATAAAAGTTAACAATGGAACTTAAAAACAATATTTTCATAATAAATATTAACAATGGAACTTAAAACAATATTTTGAGTAATAAAAGTTAAGAATGGAACATGATGAGCATTTCACTATTCCTGACTACAAATTGCTACTAGAATTTCAATGAAGTACGTAATTAAAAATATAGATACAAAATTTGGTTGAAATACTATTCCTCTATGTTTGGTTAAAGGAAAAGCAGTCAGCAGTCATTCTGATCAATTTTCCATACACAACATTATAGGAACTTTCTTACAAATTCACCTCAAAGTCCCTAAGTTTCTCAGTCATTTGTATGAAATATTAACCTCACATAGGGACTACATTAATATGTACACTTATAAATGACAATTAAATGCAGCAATTATGGTACAGTATATCATTTAAAATACCATTCACCAGTGTGCTCAATTCCAATTTTTTCTCTCTATTTTAGAGAAATTTTAAACAAAACATAATATCAGAAGTCTGAGTTCCAGGTAAATGGGCAAAGGAAGGGAGACAGAGAGTGACAATTAAGACCAGAGATAAGAGCTTTCATTCTCTCTGCCTAAGAAACCCTTTGAATAGTAAAACTTGATACAACAGATTTTTGAAGTAACAACAAAATCTGCTGGGTAAATTGTACTTTTAACTCTCTTTATTTCCAATGTTGATTGCAATATATCTGTAAATTGTGTACAGTACTCTATAAGGTATGCAGTAGAATACTTTAGTTATTTTTCCCATTTTTTAGCATTATTCTGATTTAAGTGACACTAGGTCCGTACCCCTTCTTAGTCTGTTATATTGAGAGTTTACTGTACATAATAAATATTACCAAGAAAGAGAACCTGAAGAGATTTTATGCAATTAAACCCTGTTAGACTCTCATTGAATTTTCTATTTTATTTTTGTGTGTACACTGCATTTTCATAATTTTTTTGACCTATGTTTGACCAAAGTGCTGGAAAAAAGCATTTAACCACTTTGCATGTCTTATACATATAAAGTTCCCCAACTAAAACAAGCTAAAGCTCCACTGAGCTTTTCTTGTTTATTGTTATATAAACTCATGTCTATACTTTTTATACAGATGAGAAATTATAACACAATATAAGTTTTATATGCAGTATATGCACTGGTATGTTAATGTTACTACACACCTGAGTGATCATCTGAGAGAGTTTGAAATTTATAATAAAAGAAACGAAATTAATGCTTTTTATTTTAAAAATGAAACCTTTGTAAAGTACAACTGCCATGGCTGATGTTTCAGTGTAACTGCATAAAAAATAATGATGTATATAGTGTATACTGTATACCAGGTGTCCCCAACCTGTAACCCATGGCCCACATGTGGCCCTTCTAGGAAAAGAATGTGGCCATTGCATGAAATTATGAATCTGCTTTTATGTAGGTTCCACATAACACAGTTTACCTGGAGTTTACCTGGAGAGAGTTTCGGGGGTCAACGCCCCCGCGGCCCGGTCTGTGACCAGGCCTCCTCCATGCAGATCTCATCACACATTTGACCATCACATGTAGCCCACTTGTGTGGGAAGGGTGAGGACCACTGATGTATACAACACATGGCAAACATTACTTTTAAAATGTTGCTTAATATATGATAATGTGAACACATTATGAGGAGTTTTAGACACATTCAGTATTGCAAAAATCATTTTTATTTTTAACTTGCTGGTGATTTTCACTTATCGGCGAGGGGCCAGGAACCTAACAGCCCCAAAAACGAAGTCCTCCAGTGTATATATGCTGTTTGGAAACAGAGCTTTAAATATCCAGCTTAACATATCGATTAATGGTTCCCCCATTTCAAGACACACTGAGGGCAAATTTCTAGGTCTTCACCTTGACTGCAATCTAATTTCTTGTTAAATAAACAAAGTTAACCATGTTAAAGAGAGAAGACCCTTGTGGGTTTAGTGCTTTGTTATGATTGTTGTAATAAAAATAACAATAATACCCCTCTTGAATTATAGCATATTACGTCAGCAACATTATATATATACGTATATACCTGGAGTATAAATAACAAAAAGGCACAATACCGTGACTGGAACGATACACAAATAACCCGCACATAAAAGACAGAAGCTTACGACGACGTTTCGGTCCGACTTGGACCATTGACTTTGTCAATGGTCCAAGTCGGACCGAAACGTCGTCGTAAGCTTCTGTCTTTTATGTGCGGGTTATTTGTATACCTGGAGTATACCTGGAGAAGATATCGAGGGTCAATGCCCCCGTGGCCCAATCTGTGATCAGGCCTCATGGTGGATCAGGACCTGATCTACCAGGTTGTTACTGTTGGCCACATGCAACCTAATGTACAAACCACAGCCTGGCTGGTCAGGTACTAACTTTAGGTGCTTGTCCAGTGCCTTCTTGAAGACAGCCAGGAGTCTATTGGTTATATCCCTTATGTATGCTGGGAGGCAGTTGAACAGTCTTGGGCCCCTGACACTTATTGTGTTGTCTCTTATTGTGCTAGTGGCACCCCTGCTTTTCAATGGGGGGATGTTGCACAGTCTGCCGAGTATTTTGGTTTTATAGGGAGTAATTTTTGTGTGCAAGTTTGGTACTAATCATTCTAGGATTTTCCAAGTGTATATAATCATGTATCTCTCCTGCCTACATTCTAGGGAGTACAGGTTGAGGAACTTCAAGCGTTCCCAGTAATTAAGGTGTTTATCACAGTTGTGTGTTCTGTGAAGGTTCTCTGTACATTTTTTAGGCCAGAAATTTCACCTGCCTTGAAAAGTGCTGTTAGTGTGCAGCATTATTCCAGCCTAGATAGAACAAACGACTTTAAGAGTGTCATCATGGGCTTGGCATCCCTAGTTTTGAAGGTTCTCATTATGCGAATGATACAATGTTGTGGTCTTTGAAAGTGAGATCCTCTGACATTATCACTCACAGGTCTTTTACATTAGTTTTTCGCTTTATTGTGTGGTTGGAATTTGTTTTATACTCCGATGTAGTTTTAATTTCCTCACGTTTTCCATATCGGAGTAGTTGAAATTTCTCATCACTGAATGTCATATTGTTTTCTGCGCCCCATTTAAAGATTTGGTTGATGTCCGCTAGGAGTCTTGCAGTGTCTTCAATGGAGGACACTGTCACACATATTCAGGTGTCATCTGCAAAGGAAGACACTGTGCTGTGGCTTACATCCCTGTCTATGTCAGATATGAGGATGAGGAACAGGATGAGTGCAAGTACTGTGCCTTGTGCAACAGAGCTTTTCACATTAGCCACCTCAGATTTTACTCTGTTTACTACTACTCTTTGTGTTCTATTTGTTAGGAAATTACAGATCCATCTACCAACTTTTCCTGTCATTCCTTTATCACGCATTTTGTGCGCTATTACACCATGGTCAAACCCATCAAAGGCTTTTGCAAAGTCTGTGTATATTACATCTGTATTTTGTCTCTAGAGCATCCAGGACCTTGTCATAGTGGTCCAGTAGTTGGGATAGGCAGGAGCGACCAGATCTAAACCCATGTTGCCCTGGGTTGTGTAACTGATGGGTATCTAGAAGAGTGGCGATCCTGCTTCTTAGGACCCTTTCAAAGATTTTTATTATACGGGATGTTGGCGCTATTGGTCTGTAGTTTTTTGCTAGTGCTTTACTGCTCCCTTTGTGGAGTGCAGCTATGTCTGTTGTTTTAAGCAGCTGTGGGACGACCCCTTTGTCCATGTTCCTTCTCCATAGGATGTTAAAAGCACATAATAGGGGTTTCTTACAGTTCTTGACGAACACGTAGTTCCATGAGTCTGGGCCTGGGGCAGAGTGCATGGGCATGTTATTTATCACCTTTTTGAAGTCATTTGGCATCAGGATAATATCAGATAGGTTTGATTCTACCAAATTCTGTCTCGCTCATAAAAATTCATTTAGGTCTTCGACTCTCAGTCTGGTTAGCAGCTCGCTAAAAACAAAGTCATATTGGGGGCTTAAGTAGCTCACTCATTTCTTTGCTGTCATCTGTGTAGGACTCATCTCATCTAAGTAGGAGCCCAATACTGAATGTTGACTTAGATTTGGCATAAGAAAAGAAATACTTTGGGTTTCTAACTATTTCATTTATGGGTTTTAGTTCTTCCTACATTCCTTGACTCCTGTAAGATTCCTTTAGCTTAAGTTTGATGTTTACTACTTCTCTGATCAGTGCCTCCCTTCATATTATAGACATATTGGCCTCTTTTAGCCGCTCTGTTATTCTTTGCCTTTGCCTGTATAGAGAGTGCCTTTCTCTTTCTAGTTTGCATCTTCTCCTCCTTTTCTTTAAAGGAACATGCCTTGAGCATAACTCGAGTGCCACAGATTTAATATGTTCTAGACATAGGTTTGGATCTGTGTTGCTTAGTCTATCTTCCCAGTTTATATCATTTAGGACCAGATTGACTTGGTCCCACCTTATGTTTTTGTTACTGAAGTTGAATTTGATGAAGGTTCCCTCGAGACTAATCATATTTGTTCATCTGGGGCCCCGCACATACATGTCTGAACCTCTATTATGTTGTTTTGTGTGTGTGTGTTTACTCACCTATTGTACTCACCTATTTGTGGTTGCAGGGGTCGATTCATAGCTCCTGACCCTGCCTCTTCACTGATTGCTACTAGGTCCTCTCTCTCCCTGCTCCATGAGCTTTATCATACCTCGCCTTAAAACTATGTATGGTTCCCGCCTCCACTACTTCACTTTCTAGGCTATTCCACGGCTTGACTACTCTATGACTGAAGAAATACTTCCTAACATCCCTTTGATTCATCTGAGTCTTCAACTTCCAATTGTGACCTCTTGTGTCTGTGTCCCATCTCTGGAACATCCCGTCTTTGTCCACCTTGTCTATTCCGCGCAGTATTTTATATGTCGTTATCATGTCTCCCCTGACCCTCCTGGCCTCCAGTGTCGTCAGGCCGATTTCCCTCAACCTTTCTTTGTAGGACAATCCCCGTAGCTCTGGGACTAGTCTTGTTGCAAACCTTTGCACTTTCTCTAATTTCTTGACGTGCTTGACTAGGTGTGGATTCCAAACTGGTGCTGCATACTCCAGTATAGGCCTGACGTAAATGGTATACAGAGTCTTGAACGAATCCTTACTGAGGTATCGGAACGCTATCCGTAGGTTTGCCAGGCGCCCGTATGCTGCAGCAGTTATCTGATTGATGTGCGCCTCGGGAGATATGCTCGGTGTTATGCTCACCCCCAGATATTTTTCCTTGAGTGAGGTTTGCAGTCTTTGGCCATCTAAACTATATTGTGTCTGCGGTCTTCTTTGCCCTTCCCCAATCTTCATGACTTCGCATTTGGCAGGGTTAAATTCAAGGAGCCAGTTGCTGGACCAGGCTTGTAGCCTGTCCAGGTCTCTTTGTAGTCCTGCCTGATCCTCATCCGATTTGATTCTTCTCATTAACTTCGCATCATCTGCAAACAAGGACACTTCTGAGTCTATCCCTTCCGTTATGTCGTTCACATATACCAAGAACAGCACAGGTCCTAGGACTGACCCCTGTGGAACCCCGCTTGTCACAGCCGCCCACTCTGACACCTCGTCGCGTACCATGACTCGTTGTTGTCTCCCTGTCAGGTATTCTCTGATCCGTGTATAGTGTGTGTGTGTACTCACCTATTTGTACTCACCTATTTGTGGTTGCATGGGTCTAGTCTTAGCTCCTGGCCCCGCCTCTTCACCGGTTGCTACTGGGCCCTCTCTCTCCCCGCTCCATGAGCTTTATCAAACCTCGTCTTAAAACTGTGTATGGTTCCTGCCTCCACTACGTCATTTTCTAGGCTATTCCACTGCCTTACAACTCTATGACTGAAGAAATACTTCCTACTATCTCTCTGGCTCATTTGTGTCTTCAACTTCCAATTGTGGCCTCTTGTTTCTGTGTCCCCTCCCTGGAACATCCTGTCTTTGTCCACCTTGTCTATTCCACGCAGTATTTTATATGTCGTTATCATGTCTCCCCTGACCCTCCTGTCCTCCAGTGTCGTCAGGCCGATTTCCCTTAATCTTTCTTCATAGGACATTCCCCTTAGCTCTGGAACTAACCTTGTCGCAAACCTTTGTACTTTCTCTAGTTTCTTGACGTGCTTTATCAAGTGCGGGTTCCAAACAGGTGCTGCATACTCCAGTATGGGCCTGACATACACGGTGTACAGTGTCTTGAATGATTCCTTA